CCACCACGAAAGACGACTGGGGTGGATGGAGTGGTCCATACCCGGTCATCCGCAACGAACCTGACCGAGGCCAGGTCATCGTGAAGGTCGGCAATCGCGAAGTACGAGTACAGTATCCTGACACACGACACACACTGTACATCGAAGCACTTATGGTCCGCGAGATAGGATCGGACAATACGGCCCTTCGAACAGTATTGGCCTTTATTGCCGGTCTGCCAGCGGGGAAACCCGCCATGACTTTCGGATATCTACCAACGAAACAGGGTCGGCTGCAGATGACTGCTGCGAGCCGACTTTCACCTAAGGTGCACTTGGCTCTTCAGTACCTCATACGCAACTACTTTCGTATTGAAAACGTTGTTGCTGTACGACTCGCCAAGAGCCTGACGAAGCTGCCTGCTGCACCCTATGCAGACAGCTGTACACTAGTGCACTATGATAACGATGTGACCCCTGGGTTTCATTACTATGAAGCTGATGGCACTGCCTTGAACATCTATGACATCACAGGATCCACACACTCACGCATCATCCAGTGTCTTAAATCCAGGAAGCCGTCTGCTGGGTTTGACCAAGACCTCACTAAGTTTGAGGAACTCGCTGATGGTCCACCACCAAGCGAATCACCTCCAGCAGCTGCTCCTGAGGAGCCTCCTACGGACAACGATGGTCGGCTTCCGACCATCATAGAGGAGACAGAAGAAGATCTGGATGCTTTTGTCTTGAAGTCGTGGTATGCTGAACTGATGGATGACAGAACACTCCTTGAAGCTGACACAGAGGAAGTCATGCATACAGTTCCTACATACATGACAGACACACAGTGTGTATTAGTCTCTACGACCTGTGAAGATGTGCAAGGCCACTTGCCGGAGCGGGGTCACCCGCCAGGATACGACATGGACACTTCTTACTACGTTCCTTTATGCTCCACGGAACCGGATAGCAAATATGATCTGGACTCCGATGAGCACGGGAAGTATATCGAGCTCTGCTTCACTGCAGACATGTCCAAAGTCGTCCTGTCCGAGCAGCAACACCGACTGTTGGATGACAGCAGCGTCACAACTATGCGAGTATACGTTAGCGCTGCCTCCAAACGTGCCGTGGTCGTCAAGGAAGACGATCTACTCACGAAGGCCGACATCCAAGCAAATCCGGTCAAAGTTTCCAAAGCCCTCTACACAGAGCTGAAGACTTGGCTTGACAACAAATGCTTCCAGATGACTGACTTAAGCAAGGCGTCTAACATCATGACGTCACGCTACGTATACAAATGGAAGTTTGTCAAGAACGAAAAGGGCGAAATGGAAAGGACGATCCGGTTACGCTTGGTACTCCGTGGCTTCATGGACCTCGAAGCCTTTGATGTCGAAACCTTCTCTGGCACGGCAAGGAGGTCAAGCCAGAGACTGCTCGCAAGTTCTGCTGCATGCAACAAAGCTTGGATCATCGCTTCCCTGGACATCAACATGGCTTTCTTGAAGGGACTGACCTATGGCGAGCTCGCCGCGGCAACGGGCGAGAAAGAACGTGTGGTGTGTTTCACACTACCACCTGGGTCAGCAGCTGTCCTTCGCACACTGCCAGGCTTTGAGTCATATGACGAATCAAAGCATTGTCTCCGGTGTCTGAAACCGGGGACAGGCACGAAGGATGCTCCCAGGGCATTCTCGCTGAAGCTCAGGTCCATCACTAGGAGCTTTGGGCTACAGCCTACTTCATACGACGAAGAATTCGAGATGAGCCCAAACCTCTTGACAGCCAAGCACGTTGATGACATCAATATGACTGGGAAGGAAGAGGCTATCGACAAGTATGTCAAGTGTGTTGAAGATACGTTTGGGAAGTGCAAACTGAACAAGCACACATACACGAACTGTGCTGTTCGGTACAACAAGACCGATGATGGGAGCGTCACTCTCGACCAGGACGAATACATCAAACAGCTTCGTCCTATCACACATCCAGAACTCACAGGAGCTGATCCTGAAAGCAAGGCGACGAAGACAATTTCTGATATGTTCGTCAGTCTTCGTGGCGCTCTAGCCTATGCGTTGATCACGCAGGTATGGCTAATGGTCTATGTTGTCTCACTACAACGTATCCAAGAACCGACAAACATCCAGGTACGACGACTAAACGCGGTTACCAGAAAATTGCAGGCAGGTCCGAAGAAGATCGTGTATCATGCTATGACTCCAACAGGAGAAGTCGACCTGCATAGCGATTCTGGCTATCGTCGTCTCAACGGAGATGAAGACGACGAAGTCAAAGGCTATGGTATCCGCGGGGCTAACCTGCTGAGGCGTGGCCACACGCAAGCGGGGAAACCCGTCGTGCACCTGGTGGACGCATACTGCAAGTCTCATCGACTGCAGGTGCGTTCGAGCTACTCTGCGGAAACACTGGCAGCAGCCCACAACTTGGAAGACTGCTACCCGACCATTGTAACGCTCCACGAGCTACACTCGGGACCATTGACCCCCACACAGTTGAAGAACATATTGGAAATGGGTGGTCTATGTATCAAAGTCACTCTGACTATTGATGCCGAGTCTGTCTTCAAATCTTTGTCTAGCAAGGATCTGAAGAAGCCCACAGAGTGTACTCTGCTTGGGCACATCAGCTGGATTCGCCAGATGATGGAACGTGGAATCGTGGAAAGCGTCCAATGGTGTGACACGCGGGATATGACTGCCGATGGTCATACCAAAGGTAGCATTGACCGCGCGTTGCTCCTACAAGTAATGGCCGGCCAGCAATCCTTCAAGCACGAGCTGAAGAAACATACGCCGTATAGGGCGGGCAGGTCGTCTCAGGACGGCCCTGCCTCCCGAGCCAGCGGGGAAACCCGCGGGCAGGTGCGCTTTAGCAGCGAGGAAACTCGCCGGTAGCGAGGCTACTCGCGCGCCCTTTCCTTGTAGGCAGCCGCTGCTGCTTAGCACTGTTTTTCCGCATAATAGAAGTGCGGTACCTGCTCGTCTCCTCCCCCTCCGACTTTAAACGGAGAAGGTTAAAGGCGAGGTATAAATCGAGCATGTACCGCTGCCGTGCCTGGCTCAAGCCGGGCCCGGCCAGATATGTGACTGTGCCTCACCGAGGCGCACTACTTGCATCTGAGATCGGAAAACATCTTTTCCATTGACGATGCCCATCCTACTCTATACTCCAGATCCCATGCTTCGTCTCGCTCTCTTGCTCATGCGATATGAGCCAAAGCCTGGGATATGGCAACGCCTAAGGCGTAACACATACCTAAGCTTACCAGCTTGTTTTCGACTTGGCCGTCTTGGGGCTGTCTTGGGCCAGCTTCGGGCCGTCTTGGGCCGTTTTGGGGCGCTTTCGGCAGCCTCTTGGGCCGTCTTGTTGCGATTTCGTGGGGTAGCTTAAGCACGTTGAAAAACGACCTGAAATCATTTTTCGCATCTTGGGGCCCTCTTGGGGATCCTCTCGGAGCTCTCTTGGGACGTCTTGGGTTTTTTTGAGGCCGTTATGACAGTATTCTGGGCTGTCTTTTATGGAGGCAAGGAGTTGAAGGAAAACGCTTCTCACAGGGATCAGTGCTCCCCCCAGGGGGGGGGTCACAACCCATGGTGCCCCTCTGGGATCCCTGCCGGGACCCCTCCCGGGGCCCCTTCCCCCCCGAGACCCGCCCCCCCTTCGACTCGATTACGACGTTGCTCGAACTCTCTCTGGCTGGGACGCTTGTGGAGGAGGGCTTAGGGAAAGGGGGGGGAGCGGCGACGACGACGACGGCGGCGGCGGCGGCGTCGACGACGACGACTCAATCAGAAAAGCCTCACACGCCGACAGTCGGCTCGATTCAATTTCGACTCCGTGCCCATGCAGCCCGATCCGACGCACACTCCGGTTTGATTCGGTCACCCGTTTGGATGCTGACAGATTTTGCTTTCTCCTCCTCGTCTTCCTTCTCCTCCTTCTCCCTATCCCTTGGACTTAGATCCTGTCCTGTTCCGACGGGTCGACGATCAACATTTGTGGTAATGAGTGCAATTTTCCGGGGATTACAAGTGCCGAGCATGCCGCATTACGGCCCAGACGGAGGCGTCTCTTGGGTGTTTCAGGGTGGGTGGCGGGCGCAGGTGTGCCCCGAGTGCAGTTGCGCGTGCCCTGAACTCCGAGTACTTCAGGACGCTTTCTGAGCAGTGGGACCCTCTGAGTGACCCCCGCGTGGCCTTGACGCTTGCCGCCGCTGACGCCTCTTTAGAGCCTCTTGGGGTGGAGCCCCCTCCCGAGCCCCGCTTTCGGCCTCAGAGGCTGCCGTGGACCCTTCCCTGAAGCTGGAGGTCGACGGAACTTCAAATGGTGGTGCTATCGCCCTTGTGGATTTTAGGGCTCTGGGGCATGAGAAGTTCCCTGTGAATTCGATTTACTGTTGCCGCCGCTGTGCTGGTCATTGCAATTCGGGTCCCGTGCGTTCTATGAGGGAGCTCCAATCCGTGTGCGTTGGGCTCTCAGAGAACCCGAGTATGTACGCGTCGGGTCCAGCTCACGGCCATCAAAAGGATCGGCCGTGGGCTTCCACCCTGCCAGACAGGAGGGCAGGCCTGGAGTTGTTCCTGGTACCTGGTCCCCCCGCCTGGCTCTCCTGGCCAAGGCTCTCCTGGAGTGGCGGTCTATCTGCGGCCACGCCCTCCCTGGGCCTAGTGTCAGACCTTCTGGTGCCTCAGGTTTTCCTTGTTTGTCGGCGGCGATCGAGGGGGAAAGTCAGACGGGGCGGGCCTTCTCAGAAGGCTCGGAAGTTCCCTGGCCTTCTGAGAAGTTTTCCAAGCCTTCCCCGAAGACACAGAAAACTTCTCAGAAGGCGCAAGGGCTTCTGTGAAGCCCCGCCGCCTTCTGAGAAGGCCTTCTCCTCACTTCCCCCCTCGCTCGCCGCCGAGTTTTGTCCGCCGAGTTTTGTCCTGAGGTGTGTTCGTTCGTCAGGCGCATTCTGGGCTCCTTCGTTCGCCCTTCTCCCCGTGCCCCTTTGCCAG